ACGCGAGAGTCCTTGTATTTAATTTGTATTCTTTATTTTTTCTGTACACTGCAGCAAGTCCATTTTTCTCTACTCACCCTGTCAGAAACAGTCATCTTCGTGGATACACATACATTATACACACACTCTTCCTCCCCAGTGTGCTTGTCACTTGAATACAGAGAGGGCTGAACAGACCACATTCATTATCCCGATATGTCAACCTGTGTCAGAGCTTCCCATTGGCTGAATGCTCATTAGGTTGATATGTCAGCCAGTGTCAGAAACCACCATTGGCTGATTGTATGGTGAAACTGAATTAATGTGTATATAGAGTAATGTGCATGTACAATTTAAATGGTCCTGTATGCATCTGGACATAATTTTTTAAAATATCAATATTTTAGATTATATATGCATATGTATAAGGGAAAATGTACACTGTTTTGCTTTTATCCAACATGACAAATCACAATCATAATAGAGTTGTATTCAATACAATAATACAATTAGAAAAGTGCTTTAAAGGGGTCATATGATTTTGCTAAAAATAACATTATTTTGTGGTTTAAGGTTCAAAAAACACATTATTTTCCACATAATGTACATTATTGTTTATCCTCTATGCCCCGCCTTTTTGAAACGCATCGATTTTAAATTTTTTACAAAGCTCATCGGTCTGAAAAGCAAGGTGTGCTGTGAATGGCCAGCTATCCAGTGCGTTATGATTGGCCGAATACCTCAAGCGTGTGACAGAAATGTTACGCCCCTTACCATACTGTGATGATGCCCTGTCAGGCCGGGGCAATGATTCAAAAACATGAAAACCCATTATAAACGAGGCATTCGTTGCAGCCAGTGGGGACATAATTATGGATTATAATGACTTATACTGTCTTTTTACGCGTCGCGTTGCATCGCGCCGTGTAAACATAAAACCATGTCTGCATTTGTGATCGGAGAAATGACAAACAACAAGCCCTAATCTACACTGCCCAAAAAACTTGCTTTAAATATAAAAAATATTAAATATAAAAAACGTACTTACAATCTGTGAGTCAGAACAGCCGGCATTGTAGTCTACTCTACCAGGATCAGGAAATGGTCCTCCATAAAATGTGCTGCACACATCTGAATATTTGGGTTGAAGGGTCCTTGAACAGTGTTGTAAATACAACTTAACCACTGATTTCTAGTCGTGTCCATTTTTGGAAGGCCAAACAAAGTAGTTTCGCTTTCACAACGAAACGTCACACACGCCGGCCTATAGTGAGCAGAGGCCGGGGGCTAGAGTGAGGAACGGCCGGAGGGCTAGAGTGAGCAGAGGCCCGGGGGCTAGAGTGAGGAACGGCTGGAGGAGGCTTGCGGCAACCACATGTGACGACCCCGAGCTGAACTCCGCTTCGTCCACGGTGAAAGCCGATCCGGCGATCCACAGCGCAATGTTGTTGTATTTCCTCAGCAGCCAGCGCGGATCAGCTCCAGGCATGACGAAGCAGATATCGTCCTCTTTTGGAAGACCAAACAAAGTAGTTTCGCTTTCACAACGAAACACACAGCGCCTCACGACAATACTACAGCGAGAATAAAAGTTACGCCTTCTTTCTTATGCGTTATGCAAATCTTCCCACATTGTGACGTAGATATGTGGGGGGGGTGTTAGAACGAGCCGTTTTAGGTAGGTGTGACTGACTCTTAACTTTTATAAAGAATATCTCTTTGGATTTGAGACTTTAGTCTTTGCAACTTTACAGATCTTCTTTATGCACCAAGAGCTTGTAACACTCCAAAGAGAAAGGCTAAATTTTAATCGCATCATATAATCCCTTTAAAAGAGTACTTTAAACAATTTTCTTCAGTCTAAAAATGTTTGAGTCAAATATCGACTAGCTGTTGGGTTACATGTTTACATTAAATTTTTTAACCCAAAAGTTGGGTTAGTCCATGTTGAAACAACCCAGCATTAGAGTGAAAGTGAAGTGACATGTGGCCAAGTATGGTGACCCATACTTGGAATTAGTGCTCTGCATTTACCCATCCAAAGTGCACACACACAGCAGTGAACACACACCCGGAGCAGTGGGCAGCCATTTATGCTGTGGCACCTGGGGAGCAGTTGGGGGTTCGGTGCCTTGCTCAAGGGCACCTCAGTCATGGTATTGAAGGTGGGAGAGAGCGCTGTACATTCATTCCCCCCACCTACAATCCCTGCCGGTACAAGACTCGAACCCACAGCCTTTGGGTTATGAGTCCGACTCTCTAACCATTAGGCCACGACTTCCCCAAGTGTATGTCACAACACATGACACTGTAGTTACACTGCAGGACATTTCAAGATATTTTGTTTCCAACAGTTAGACTCCCATAGATGTCATTTCAAACCTGTACACTCACAGAAAAAAAGGTATAAAAAACTACCACTGTGGTACCCTTTCAGAGAGTACAACGTTGTATCCTATTTACCCCTAAAGGGTGCATACAAATACCTTAAAGGTACATTCTGTATTAGTACCTAAAGTGTACATACAGGTATGTAAATGGTACATATTTGTACCTTTTGAAAAGGTACCACCCTAGTGACAGCTTTTGTACCTTTTATTTTGAGAGTGTATGACTTTCTTTTACTGCGGAACAGAAAAGATGAATGTTGGTAACCCAACAGTTTCTCATTGACTTCCACTGTATTTTTTTGTCCATATAATGGGAACCAAAACTGTTTAGTTGCCAACATTCTTCAAAATATCCTTTTATGTTCCACAGAAGAGAGAAATTCATGGCATGAACATGAGTGTGAGTAAATGATGACAGAATCACTACACATTTTGTCAGAAATAAGTTATGAGCAATACTGGGTTTCTTAGACTAATCTGTCCTGTGACAAACAGGTTTCACTCCACTATGCTCAAATTCAAATGAAAGAGAATATGAAAATATATATAAAATCAATCAAAATTCAGTCGCAAACATTTTAAAATGTATTTCAGCATTGTTGCTTTTATTTTATATATATTATATATAAAAAATATATTTATTAGTCCATATTGTTCAATTTGAAAAGTATTTCACAGTTCATGATTTTAATGCAGGAGAATTCTCACATTTTATTTAAAATGGACAAAATTACTCAATATAATTACTCAATATTATAACTCAATATGGCCGTTGACTTTCCGAACAGTAAAATTACAACTGCTTTTTGTAAACTTACTATATGTGTGTATGTAGTGTGGACATACATTAATAATACCTGAAAAACATATGTTTGTATATCCCTGAGTGTGTGCACGTACACGTGTCTGCTGGCATAATGCAGCTGAGCTGTGAAGTGTTTGTGTGTGTCTTTGCATGCACTCTCAGGGTTAGTGTGTGGGTTTAGTAGAATAAAGCCCCCTGGGTAACTGCTCAGTTGTGTTGCTATCAGAAAACATTCACATCCTCCTCCAAAAGCAGACCATGGTCCATGAGCAGAGAAGAGAGTGGGAGGGGAGAGAGACATGCCTCTATGGACATCATAGCTAAGGATGTCCTTGGACATAATCTCCCAAAGTTGAGCTCCCTTCCGAGATAAGCGTCATCTGCATTCCTCACTGATAGTGTCTTCAAACTGCATCACCTGCATAAGTTTGCTTCTCACAAAGCCTGTCTGGCTAAGATATTGCATTCTCAAAACAACTGATGGCCACAGAAGAACACCAGTCACATCCATACCCAGTTTTTTCTTCTCTGCAAACTTGCTAGATAGTACTGAGCACCTGTTAAGATATCATAATAACCCCCCCCCCCCCCCTAGACCCAGACAGACAGAATCCATCATGTAGTAAGGCAGGTCTTCGTAGACCTTATGTAGAACCCTGCTAAAAAACAATAGAAACCATCACACAAATTCTAATGGTTTCCACTACAAATACCATTACAAAGATTACAAACCGTCAACTTTTAACCATGTGTGTTATGGGACATATTCCATTAGGATTTAGTGGTTTTAACAAGCCATCATTATAGAAGGCGACCAATTACCAGTAGAGACCAACAGTCACCATTACAGTTTTCATTAAAACCAGTACAATTCCCATTATAGCCAGTAAAACCATTACAAATTCTGTGATGGTTTCTATAGTTTTTTTTCAGCAGGGAAATGTTAATGTCAGACAAAAGAAAATAGACATCAAATCGGATCAAATAGAATGTGGGAGTATTGAACTTTTTTTTTTTTTGCCACTTTATAGGGAGTGAACAGTTAAATACACACATGTGTCAAAATGCCCGTCTTTGCAAGTATCCTCATAAACGCAGTAATTTAAGTCTTAAGTGAAGCTGAGAAAGAAAGCACATGTGGCAGTATATTGGATCAGGGCAGCTCTTAAAGTGACAGCAGTCTAATATTCCTGCTCTCTGTCATTCATGTTAATCAAACAACAAAAGAGAGAAAATCTCTCATTGCTCTTGACTAAATCACTTTTTTTGTAACTTTTGTTTTATACATGTGATTACTTTATACAATGTATGTAGCATTTCTTATTAATTTGTTTTAATAGTTTTTTGTCCTATTGCTTGTAATTAGTTTCTTATTCTTTTTAAGTAGTGCTGTAACGTAATTGGTGACAATTGTGGTAAAACCACTGTAACGCAAGGCCTTGAGTGAGCTACTGCTTTTATGAAACTATAGGCTTGTTTGTACTGTAAAATGTATATTAATACTCCAAGCTGCCAAGAAGAAGATGATCATATATACAGTATACATATAGACCTATATAAATATATATGAGAGAGAGGTAATTTAATTTTGTGAATGCACTGGCTTTGAACAAGGCTCATCTAATCAGATCTTCTTCTCATTTTTTATAATATTATATTAGAAAAACATAAAAAATATATATTTTAGAATATTTAAGGTACTCATATTTTGAAATATCTAGTTATTTATTCTACCATTTTATTTCCTAATCCTTACATAATGCTGTGTTTGTCTTATTTTTTGTCTTTCTTTCTCATTTCAACTCTTCCTGCCTCTGACTTTTTAGCTGCACAGAGTGAGCAGAGGGAGTGTGCGTACACAGAAAAGCCACATGGAGAGGGACGTGTCTTTCTTGAGAACTCCACCATTCGCTGTAATCAAGGAGGTCACTGCTTTGGACTCTGGGTGAAAAAGAACAATGAAATTCTGCTAGAGAAGCAAGGTACATAAATTCATTCCACGCATTCACACACAAATCACTTTACAGTCAGTCTCACCTTGATTTACTCCATTTGAAACAGGTTGCTGGACAAATGTAGGTGAATATCAGGAGTGCTATGACCGCTGCGTGGTGACCAGCCCACCGTCAATGGCCAAGAATGGAACGCTTCGATTCTGCTGCTGCAAAAAAGACATGTGCAACCTGAACTTCACTGAGGACTTCCCACCTCCTCCCCCCACCACCGTACAGCCTCTACGTGAGTTGTGTGTGTGTGTGTGTGTGGTTCATAGACATACAGAGAGTGTTCAGCAAACGGAAACAAATGAGTTTGAGTGAAAGATGTGTTTGTACTAACAGTAGGTACAAATGAAAGACAGGGTTGAATTTGATTAATTATTTGTAAATTTTATTTAATTATTAATGTTAATTTTATAGCACTCTGACAAACTATTTGTTAATCCGAGTTCATTATCTGGTCCATGATCTAACGTTTTGTCTTTTAATCCTTCAAGATTCCCGCCATCTTTACAGAGAGGAAGCCATAGTTGCAGCATTAGCAACTGTGTTCATGGTTGCTGTCCTTGTCATTCTGCTTTTTTCCGGCTACCGCATGCTAAGAGGTGCGTTACTGTAGTAATGTTATGATGCTTTTCATGTATGATTCAATCCTGCCAACGAAATTACCTATGAGCATGTGGATTTATATACCTATGTGTATTCCAGGACATGGTAAACACTCTCTGCATACCTTGGATATTCTGGAGACTGCGCTTTCCCCTCCTTCTCTGGATTTAGACAACCTAGTGCTGCTGGAGGTGACCAATCACAGCTTCATTCTTTTTTCTGCCTCATTTACGCAAATAATAAATAATATATAATAAAATAATATATAATATATAATTTATTAAATAAAAAAATTTAATATCTGCTTAAAAAACCCAGGAGACCCATAGTCCTGTTGTAAATATTAAAGTGAAAGTAAGGGCATTTGTCAAGTCACAAAAGAATTCTATTTTAAAATCAATTTTATTTTTAACTTTCTATTCATCAAAGAATCCTGAAAGAATCCATTCTTTTTTACAAAAATATTAAGCAGCACAGCCGTTTTCAACAGCGATAATAAGAAATGTTTCTTCAGCACCAAATCAACATATTAAAATGATTTCTGGAGGATCATCACAGGAATAAATTACACTTTAAAACCTATTAAAATAGGAAACAGTTATTTTAAATGGTAATAATAGTTTATAATATTAATGTTTTACAGTATTTTTGATCATGTAAATGCAGCCTTGTGTGAGCATAAGAGACTTAAATATTTAAAAAATCTTACTGGCACCAAGGATTTGAACATTAGAATATTTCTTTCTTTTCCTCACAGCTGATTGGCCGGGGCCGGTATGGAACAGTATATCGCGGTTCACTGGAGGACCGATCTGTGGCAGTGAAAGTTTTTGTTTCTGCTAACCGGCAGCAGTTTACTAATGAGCGTATGATTTATCACCTCCTCCTGGATCATGAGAACGTAGCACACTTCTTAGAGAGCGAGGAACGTGTCGGTACAGAAGGTCGGACAGAGTTTCTCCTCTTGCTGGAGTTTTACCCACATGTGAGTATCGCAAGAACACTGAGGAACCCAAACTAGCCACCCAAAAAGTAACAAACGCAAAAACTCAAGTCTAATTCCAGATTGCTTATTTTTTTCCTCTGAGCCATTTAGTCTGTTCCTGTTTTTTTCTCTCACATTCCTTCTTCTCTACATCACAGTTTCAAAGCGCACACATTTATTTTGTGGTTATATTTAGAGACCCGAGGGATCTTATGTCATGTTTGATCTTGTGGTAACAGCATCTCACAAGTATAATGCGATATTCCTTCAGTTTTCCTCTGTGACTTTTTTCATCCTCTCGTTCTTTTTTTTTTTTGGACTTGGAACAAGGAAAAGGTTACAATTTAGCAGAATATCCTCATTTTACCTCTCGCCACATACTCACACCCACAACACACTCTCTCGATATTATGGAGGAAGAGAGAGATTATTGACTAAGCTGAGAAGTTTTCAATTATTCATAACCGTGGGCTTTCAGCCTGTACTTCCTGTGGGCTAACCTCAAGCCAGGTTTCCATAGCGACAGGAGGCATCCCTGAGGTAGTCCTGAGGTATGGTAGGAGTGCATACATTTTGAGATACACCGCCGCTTTTCTTTCTTGCTCTGCGCTTTAATCTCGTCCTCCCTCGCTTCTCCCTCCTCTTCCCCTCCTCTGCCCCCCCACTCTGTTTTTCCTGTGCGTTCCTCCCTGTATTTTGCAGATGATTTCCTCTGAATAGAGTACTCCCTCTGTCTTTCCCAGGGCTCTCTGTGCACGTATCTGTGCAGGCAGACTGTGGACTGGCTGAGCTGCTGTCGTTTGGCTCTGTCTGTCACCAGAGGGTTGGCGTACCTGCACACAGAGATACAGAGAGGGGGTGAGACACAAAATAACAAATACATTCATATTTCAGACAATTGTCGTTCCAAACCTGAGCTCTTTCCTCTGTGAAATACAAAAGCAGAATGTTGATGAATATAGTGGCCACTCTTTTTCATACAATTATGATATACACTTCTTTTCAAAAGTTTAGAGCCAGTAAGATTTTTTTGGGAAAGATATTAATATTATAATGCAGCAAGCACACATTACGTTGATCAAAAGCAAAAGTAAAGACATTTATAATGTTACATTTCTATTGAAAATAGAATAGGATGTGATAGTGGGTGTGTGCGCTTTATTTATAGCTTTAGTCTGAGAAAGCAGGAAGGCAGGGATGGGGCGTAATTCTCAATGCTTTTTTTTGTTTTCTTTGTCTTTGTTTCAGTGTGAAAGGCTCTAAAAGTGTTCAGATTTGATTTAGTTTCAAAAAATGCATGGAAATGAAAGGCATAAAAACTGCGACAGAAAGAGAGACTAAAGAAAGAAAGAAAGTGATGCTATGTCTTCATCTTCAGTGCAGTCATCCTGATATATAATGACAGATGCTTTTTTTAACTCTCTGAAACTGGCCAAACTTCCACATACAAATGCACACTCATATATACTCTCATACACCGCATTATTATATAACAAAGTGGACTGGCTCTAAAATCTGTTTGGATGGGCCACTTCCAAACCAATATTGGTTATCAAACAGATATTCATTTCACAAAACAGTGACCACTACTTATGACAGTGTAGAGAGTTTAATGACCTATATTACCTATATTAGTAATCAGTAAATAAATGCAATTATTTACGGATAAAAATACATTAAAAACTAAATGATAAAATAAACATTTAATAAAATAGTCATTTTTTTATTATATATTTCAGTGGCTTTTGTAAAACAGAGGAAACAAACAGAAGCCACTCAAAGCTGTGCATTAAATTGATTTACTGTATTTTTAAGTGTTTTAAGCACTTGTGCCTAACTGGACCACTTACATTGGTAAAATCCCTGTTACATAGGTTATTTCTGGAGACACAAGTGGCTCCTAGTGCTCTCTAGTGGTAATTCTGATATTATGATTCACTCTCGTGTAATTTTCTCTCCTCTCTCATCCCACTCACTGCCTTCAATCTCTCTTTTCCTTCCCTCTGCTCTTCTCATTGTTAGATGTGTATAAACCGGCCGTGTCCCACCGGGATCTGAACAGTAGGAATGTGCTGGTGAAGACAGATGGCTCATGTGTGATCAGTGATTTTGGACTTTCCATGATTCTGACGGGAAAGAGACCGCCTGGGCATGGAGAAGAGGACAACAGTGCCATCAGTGAGGTCAGCAAACAGCAATTTAGAATGGTCCAGTCTGAACCAACCCAGCAAAATCTAAAGCAGACCAGTGATTTGGACAATAATACCTCGGACTAATCATATGTTTTACCTCTTCATCTCACTCAATAGGTGGGTACAGTGCGATACATGGCTCCAGAAGTGTTAGAAGGGGCAGTCAATCTAAGAGATTGTGAGTCAGCGCTGAAACAAGTGGATGTTTATGCACTGGGTCTGCTTTACTGGGAGACCTTCATGCGGTGTGCGGACCTCTTCCCAGGTACCACACACACACACATGTACACATGCAGATCTTTCCATGTCACAGCTGCTGTTTGTACTCAATAAAAATCTTCTATCTCACTAGGTGAGACAGTTCCAGCTTTTCAGATGGCGTTTCAGGCAGAGGTGGGTAATCACCCTACCATAGAAGACATGCAGGCACTTGTGTCCCGAGAAAAAGAAAGACCCAAATTCCCAGAGGCCTGGAAGGAAAATAGCCTGGTGAGAAATTAAGATGTGAACACACACAGATGCTGCTTATCAACTTTAGTGGACTAAAATAGATTTGTTGATGTTGATGTATGTGCCTGTGTTTATCTGCAGACGGTGCACTCTCTGAAAGAGACTATGGAAGACTGCTGGGATCAGGATGCTGAAGCCCGACTGACGGCTCAGTGTGCAGAGGAGAGACTTGCTGAACTGCTTCTTATCTGGGACAGGGAAAAATCAGTCAGTCCTGCTCTTAACCCCAGTACTGCACTGTTTAACCACAGGTAATCAATAACCAATATTTACTTTACAGTCACAGGTAATCAAAAACGAATAATTATTGACCATTCACTGTACAACCACAGGTAATCAATACCCAGTAATTACTGACCACTGACTGTATAACCACAGGTAATCAATAACCAATAATTATTGAACACTGACTGTATTACCAGAGGTAATCAATAACCAATATTTACCATACAATCACAGGGAATCAAAAAACAATAATTATTGACCACTCACTGTACAACCACAGGTAATCAATAACCAATAATTACTGACCACTCAATGTACAACCAAAGGTAATCAATAACCAATATTTACCATACAATCACAGGGAATCAAAAAACAATAATTATTGACCACTCACTGTACAACCACAGGTAATCAATAACCAATAATTACTGACCACTCAATGTACAACCACAGTTAATCAATAACCAATATTTACCAAACAATCACAGGTAATCAAAAACCAATAATTACTGACCACTGACTGTACAACCACAGGTAATCAATAACCAATATTTACCATACAATCACAGGTAATCAAAAACCAATAATTACTGACCACTCACTGTATAAGCACAGATAATCAATAACCAATAATTACTGACCTCTCACTGTACAACCACATGTAATCAATAACCAATATTTACCAAACAATCACAGGTAATCAAAAACCAATACTTACTGACCATTCACTGTATAAGCACAGATAATCAATAACCAATAATTACTGACCACTCACTGTACAACCACAGGTAATCAATAACCAGTAATTACTGTACAACCACAGGTAATAAATAACAAATAATTATTATCCAACCATATAGTATACACATACTATACACAGGTAATCAGTAACCTATAATCACTGACCACTAACTGTATAACCTGAAAATTATCAATAACCAATAATCACTCACCATTCACTTTATAGATGCAGGTAATAAGTAACCAATAATTACTGACTACTCACTCTACAACCACAGGTAATCAGTAACCAATAACTATTGTACAACCACAGGTAATCAGTAATCTATAATCACTGACCATTAACTGTATAACCAACCACAGGTAATCAGTAACCAATAATTACTGTACACCCACAGGTATCAATAACAAGTAACCTATAATCACTGACCATTCACTGTACAGCTACAGGCAATCAATAATCAATCAATAACCAATAATCACTGACCACTCACTATATAACCAGACAATTTTTCAATAACCAATAATCACTGACCACTCACTATATAACCCAAAAAATTTTCAGTAACCAATAATCACTGACCACTCACTACAGGTAATGAATAACTAATAATTAGTGTACAACTGCAAATAATCAACATACAGCAGTTAATCAGTCATTGCTGACCATTCACTGTACAACCAGAGGTAACCAACAGTCATTGACAACTCACTATACGACCACAGGTAATCAATAATCACTGACTAATCACTGTACAACCACGGGTAATCAATAACCAGAAATCATTGATCACTCACTGTACAACCAGCGGTAACCAATAATCACTGACTCACTGTATGATCACAAGTAATTAGAAATCACTGACCAATAGCAACAGTGACCAAATGTACAACAACAGGTAATCTGTCATACTGACCACTTACTCTACATACACAGGTAATCAGTAACCAGTAATCACTGACCACTCACTGTAAAACTGCAGATAATCAGCAATCACTGATTGAACAACCTCATTATTGCACTGTACGACCACAAGCAATAAATAACCAGTACTTGCTGCATAACTAATGAAAATCCAAAGGCAATAATATCTTAACTTTAACAATGCATTCAAACAATTAATTCAACCATGCGTAATTAATAATTAATAATGCACAATGCACATTCCCAGTTAAAAAGTCTGTAGAACTCCAGAAAAATAATAAATAATTAGCACAAACAGTCACAAATCATGGTCAATTGTTGTCATTTGCAATGTGCATAAGTCTATGTAGGCCTTTATCTTACAGTAAGTGATTCTTATTTCAACTTAAATTTTCTAGGAACTTCTCTACTGGAAGGCAGATGCCTAAGGTGGGTTCTTTCCTTGAGCACTCATCTACAAACACTGAAGACCAGGAGGGCACTGATAAACCCCTCCACAATGACACCTCAATGGACCCACCCTCGGTGGGAGGGTCTAACCCTGCAGAGAAGAACAGGAACTGCATCAACTATGAGTGGCAGCAGGCCCAATCACGAACGTCTGGGACAGAAACCTCCTTCCCTACTCCTGTCTCTGAGTCCTGCAATGCCACACAGCTTCCACCAGTGGGCAACAGTGTCCCTCCCTGTGCTCAGCTGACCCAGGAAGACCTGGAGATACCAAAACTGGACCCAAGTGAAGTCCAGAGGAACTTGAGAGAGAGCTCTGAAGAGAGCCTGATGGAGCTTTCGCAGAAGCAGTTCTGCTCTCCGGAAACATCGACCTCACATGGCGTATTTTACCCCCTCATGAAGATGGTTTCTGAGGTTTCAGGGTCACAGGGTTCTGGTCGGCTTACTGACACCCCTATAACCATCCTACCTAAGCAGCAGAATGTTCCTAAGAGGCCGAGTAGCCTAAGTCTCCATGCTAAGCCTTCTGGGAAAATACCCGCCTTGTCATCTTCATCACTGCGGATGAAGTTTGGGAAACTCGGAAAGTCGAATTTGAAGAAAGTCGAGATGGGTGTGGCTAAAGCCAGTGCGGTCAGAGCGGCACATGAGGCCAGGCCGATTACTGTTGCCAACAACGATGCTGCGGCAGCAGTGAGTAAATATGCGAACGGAGCAGCACCTGAGTCAGCAGGAAGTGCAGCCAATGCCGCTGATGTCCGTTGGAAGGGCGCCATGAGTTCAGAGGACTTGACCTTTGGCCTCTTGAACACTAGCCCTGACGAGCAAGAACCTCTTCTGAGAAGAGAGGCGCATCCTGACAATGCGAACAACAACAACAGCAATAACAACAATGGCGAGGGAGAGGGTGAGGGAGACACTGAGGGTGGAGGAGAGGGAGGAGAGAACAGTGAGAATGTTGGTCCAACTGGAGATGCTCCATCAGCTTCTACCGTGGAGCCTGTTGCGCTGCCCGGCCCGTGTCCTGCCCCAACCGTGGTTCCTCCACAGGCACAACCCCAAGCTCAGACACAAGGAGAGGCCCTGCTCAGACAGAACCGTGTGCGCAGACCTGAGAGACCCAACTCACTAGATCTGTCCATGACCACACTGCCATTACTAGGTGAGTATCAATGCTTAAACTCAACTTATTTTAACTAAATTTGCCCTTTTGAATGCAAAATATGTACTTTTTTGCAGAACCAAAGAGTTTTTTTCAAGGGGTCCTAATTCTACTTGATATTGCAAACTTGATATTAGTATTTTTATCATATTATCTTGTGTTGTCATAATTATAAACAAGCTGGTTTGTAGAGCATTCTACCTTTTTAAACCATTGCACCACTAGTTTTATCTCACTTTATTATTCTTCTAGTTGTTTACGTACTGCGGTGAATGAATTAGAAGTCTCGCACCTTCACAGAAAATAGCTTTACTTTCATGTTGCAAACTAAGATAATAGAATTTGGCAACAAAAATCAATTGAGTTGAAGAATTGTGACATTTCTGGGCCTTTAAGACACTGCTTATGTATTTGATCTATTTTATGTAGCTTATATATTTCTTCTGTTAATTTCTACAAAGTTTTCCAAATGTTCTTTTTGTCTATTTAAGAGCTCTGACAATATCTGTCAAGCTTCCTGTAACAGTGGATAATAATTATTGCTATTTAACATATGATAACATGATCTAAAGTTACATTAATAAATAGTAGTTTTTATATTTAGTGGTATTTTATGTGTAGTTGAATGGGATAGCTGGATAGTGTCAGCCAGGGTTGACCCATTTATTGTGACCTCCTCAAAATTAAAATAATAGAGAGAAATATTGTCAAGTTACACTGTATACCCCTATCGGCAATACTATTCATCCACTGTTTCACTATTTTCATTATATCGTTTCATATACTTGTGCAGAAGGTCGCCACTTTTGGGTGTGGTTCACGTGGGACCAAAGATTTGCGGTCCGCCACTGCACTAATGCTATTAGCTAATGTATTTTAACAGATAATTATTTGCTTTTTTAAATTAGTTCGATTTCATGTACGGTATATAATGAGTTATTTTATATATTAACATTTTATCAAAATGACTGGTTAAAATCTGAGTGGCTGGTAAAATTGGACGTTCACTAGCCAAAGCTAATTTACCACCCTTTTCATATTTTAATTTTTATTGTTAACAATCATTTTTGATGTTTACACCAATATGTTCACTCTTACAGGCCTTTTTTCCTGAAACATGAACATAATGGGTTACACTTTATTTTAAGGTGTCCTTGTTACAGTGTAATTATACATTTAAGTACTGAGTAATATTAATGAACTACATGTACTTACTATATGGTTAGGATTAGGGTTTGTCTTAGGGTTACTAGCGTGTAATTATGCATAATTGATTGTTATTATAATAGTAAGTACATGTAACGTGTAACAAGAACACCTTAAAATAAAGTGTTACCGCATAATGAATTGCTCTGTAAATGGTTTGAAAAAATATTTCGTTTTGGAACAATTTACACATAAATCCAATGAATGAGGCCCATTGTTTTACATTTTAAAATGACGTTTATGTTGTAATCTCTTGGTTCACCCACAGAAGGCAAGTCTGCCGTTGACGTGACAGAGGGATCAGGAGATAAAATCAAGAAGCGAGTGAAGACACCTTATGCTCTGAAGAAGTGGCGTCCTGCCAGCTGGGTTATCACCACAGATACACTGGCTGCTGAAGTCAACAACAACAGACTTCATGGAGGGCCCGGTCAGAACCAGAATCAGGCCGGTACCAGCAGACCTAAATCAGCCTCTGCCGTGCATCTAGGTAGTCGGGGAGGATCTCGCTTCTCAGATCCCAATGACTGTGACTTTTGAACATAAACCTCACTTTGCTCTTGAAAAAAATTTCAAATCAAACAGTCTAAAGTTTGTGGAGACAAGTGTGGACTGGACCATATAAATGTCTTAAATTTAACCCCAGTTGTAAGCACAGTAAGAGTCTTAGTGGATTTACATTGAAAAGAGCTATGCA